CCGATGCGGGACTCGATCCAGGGACTCCAGGATCATGACCTGAGCCGAAGGCAGTCGCTTAACCAACTGAGCCACCGAGGCGCCCCAATCCTTAAAGATTTTTATTTATTTAGAGATATAGCAGGGGAGGGGAGGGGCAGAGGGAGAGGAAAGATAGTCCTAAGTAGACTCTGTGCCGAGCATGGAGCCCGATACGGGGCTCAACATGAGGCTCGACCCCACAACTGTGAGATCAAGACAGAACTGAAATCAAGAGTCCAAGCTCAACTGACTGAGCCACCCAGGCACCTCATTTTGTTTAAAGATTTTATTTATTAAGATTCTCTCTCCCTCTGCCCCCCACCCAGAACTCACACTCTCTCAAACAAACAACAAAAAAAGAACACATCTTAGTAAGTCCTACACTGGGACCTATTTTTTTTTTTTCTATTTTAAAAGAAATGATGTAAATGAATTCTCTGAAACAAAGGCACATTTTGAGGAGGAAATGTGCTCACAGTTTGGGGAAGTTTCAAAGGATTTAATATATGCCTACAAAAAAAGATTGGCACAGTCAGGATGTCAACAATGCTTTTCTACTGAGGGTCAGGACTATGGCCAAAGCAGTTATCCTAAGAACAAGAACCATTCTTGATAGGGTGTGTACACAAATCCAGAGGTTACTTCTGACTCTTAACAATACTAAGGATCAGAAGTCCTAAGTGAACTCAAATTCCCTGAGGACAGGACCTCCCAGATATCCTGGAGATAGGCTGACTCCTTGCCTCTAAGCTGTACAGACCCTTCCCCCTACTGGTGAGATTAGTGGTTCACTAGGGCAGTCCACAGGAGTCTATAAGGGGGTCTACCTGTTAATCTTGTATAATATGGATGCCTACATTATGATAATGTCACACAATGTTCTGTCATCCTCTTAGTCATCAAGCACTATAGACTCTGCCTCCACAGTGTCTCTCCATGTCATCCTTTTCATTTCACTACCATCACCTAAGCACAGTTCACCTAAAATTCTTGCCTATCATATTGTAGTACCTCCTAATTTATTTGCTTCCAATCCTTTTTCCCTCAATCCATTCTAAAACCCACAATTAGAATACTGAACCTAAATCAGAGCCTACAGCACAGTACTCTAGTGCTCAGTGGATCCCAACTGCCTAGAAAAGTTCAAAGCTCTTTGGCTCTCAAAGCCCTCAATAATATCACCCCATCCCACTTTTCTAGCCTTTATATATCCCATATTAGTAAACATTCAGATTCATCCATTCAACAATGGAGTATCTAGGCATGGCTAGGGTTACAGAGGGAAACACAGTAAATGTCCCCATTAAGTGGACAGCCAGTAGAAGAGATGAGTAAAACTGAGGAGTAGCCAGGGTGGAAAAAGGAAAACCAGGAGAGTGTGGTGCCCTAAAAGCACATAAATAAAGTGTTTCAAGAAGGGAATGATCAACCACATCAAATACTGTGAAACGTCAAGTAAGATGAGGCCTGCAAATTGACCCCTAGAATTTGCCCATGAGAGTCATTGATGACATGACGAGAATGGTTTCAGTGGAATGGTGAGCATGTAGGCTTGAATGGGGTGGGTTCAAGAAAGAAAGCTGGTAAGGAGGTTGAAGATGTTTGCTATAAAGGAGAGAATCAAAGAATTTGGGTTCTAGGGAAGGCAAAAAGCCCTCAAAAAGAGGATGTAAGAGAGAACATCGGGTTTGTATGTTGGCAGGAATGATTCAACAGAGAGAAATTGATAGAAGAATGTAAAGGGATAGGGGCGCCTGGGTGGCTCAGTCTGTTAGGCATCTGAATCTTGATTTTGGCTTAGGTCATGATCTCAAGATAGTGAGATCAAGCCCTGCATCGAGCTCGATGCTCAGCGTGGACTCTGCTTCAGATTCCCTCTCCCTCCCCGTCTCCCTCTGCCCCACTCACACACGTGCACACTCTCGCTCTAAAAATAAAATCTTAAAAAAAACAAAACATAAAGGGATAACTGCAAGTACTTGAGGCAAAGAAGTGGGGTCCAATGCACAAGGGAAGAGGCTGACCTGAGATAACAGGGAAGGTTCATTTATTTTAATCACACAAAAAGCAGGCAGAATGGTGGAAGGAGTAAATTAGTAGACTCGGTGGTGAGAAATGGAGTTTTTCTCTTCTGATTGCTTCCATTTTCGCAGTGAAGTAAGTTAAACAGCTGAGAATGAGGAAGGCAAGAGGGAACACTGGAGGTTTAGGGACAGAAGAGAAGGTGTGCAATAGTCATCTTGGACCATAAGGGAGTGAATGGAAGAAATGCAATAGGAATGCTGAGCACTTGAGGTTTCTAGCTATAAACTTAAAATGAAACCAGCAATGCATTTCCTTTTTCAGCCTTTAAAAAGAAAAAGCATTTGCACTTGCTGTTTCCTCAATCTCTCTCCTTGTCTATCTGATAAAATTGCATTCTAGAAAGCCCACTAAAAAAGCTACTTCTTCCAAAAGGTCATATAGCTCTCCTAGCCCAAAGTGATTCTTCCAACCTCTCAACTCCAAAAATAAATTGTTGATGCCTCCTATAGAGCATGTATTCCATCTCACATGGTTAGTACTGTGCAAGGTTAGAAGTTTCTTAAATTAGAGAAACCAGGGGCGCCTGGGTGGCTCAGATGGTTAAGCATCTGCCTTCAGCTCAGGTCATGATCCCAGCGTCCTGGGATCAAGTCCCGCACTGGGGTCCCTGCTGGGTGGGGAGCCTGCTTCTCCCTCTGCCTCTCTCTCTCTCTCCCCCTCTCTGACTCTCATGAATAAATAAATAAATAAAAATTAGAGAAACCATTCTTTTATTTAAATTTTAGTTAACATACACTGCAATATTGGTTTCAGGAGAATTCAGTGATTCATCACTTACATACAACACCCAGTGCTCATCACAAGTGCCCTCTTTAATGCCCATCACCCATCCAGCCCATCCCCCACCCACCTCCCTCCATCAACCCTCAGTTTGTTCTCTATCATTAGGAGTCTCTTATGGTTTGTTTCCCTGTCTCCCCCCCCTTCCCATATGTTCATCTGTTTTGTGTCTTAAATTCCACATATAAATGAAATCATATGGTATTTGTCTTTCTCTGATTGACTTATTTCACTTAGTATAATACATTCTAGCTCCACCCACGTTGTTGCAAATGGCAAGATTTCATTTTTTGATGGCTGAGTAATATTCCATTGTATATTTATACCACATCGTCTTTATCCATTCATTAATCGATGGGACATTTGGGCTCTTTCCATAGTTTGGCTATTGTGGGTAATGCTGCTATAAACATCGGGGTGCATATACCCCTTTGAATCTGTATTTTTATATCCTTTGGGTAAATGCCTAACAGTGCAATTGCTGGATCATAGGGTAGTTCTATTTTTAGTTTTTTTGAGGAACCTCCATACTGTTCTCCAGAGTGGCTGCACCAGTTTAGAGAAACCATTTCTTATTCATTACAACCACAGGATATTTCTCTCTGTCCTCTCTCCCACATATTATAAATCCCCATGGTTCTAGGTCTTGCCATATAATTATGTGATATGGGTGCCCTAGCTCCTTATTAAACTGGGATATTTTGGGGAACAGGAACCTTGCTCACCTTTCCAGCTTATGTCCCTCAAACACCTGGCTCTTGAATTTTAGCTATTATTTCTACAGATCTTTTTAACAAAACAAAAAGGGGGGGTTGCTTCCATTACTGTTAACTCGCATATATGGCATATAGCAGGATCCCTGTCCTCAAGAGGTTTTACCACTAGAATCAAAAGTGCCTCATACTCAGTAAGAAAATAAAAGGTATCAGGGGCGCCTGGGTGGCTCAGTCGTTAAGCGTCTGCCCTCGGCTCAGGTCATGATCCCAGGGTCCTGGGATGGAGCCCCGCATCGAGCCCCGCATCAGGATGCCCGCTCGGCTGGAAGCCTGCTTCTCCCTCTCCCACTCCCCCTGCTTGTGTTCCCTCTCTCGCTCTCTGTCAAATAAATAAATAATCTTAAAAATTAAATATAAATAAATAAAAGGTGTCAGGAGTCTCAGAAAAGGTGCTAATAGGGTAAGGCTTACACGTAAATAACCAGAGACTGTGGAGTAGAGATGGGGCATGAGAGAAAGCAAGTGGGGAGAGGCACGAATAAAACTTACCAGGGGCACAACAATTTCATTTAGTCAACTTACATATAAATGATCCATAGGGCAGTTCTTGGAGCGTCCCTATTTCCAAACATTGTTGGACTGAGAGCAAAGGTTGTGCAAAATAACTGCAGGTCCCCAACAGTGCCCTCTTAAGTACCCGTGTTATCTAGACCGTTGTTCCCCAGCCACGCCAGAACTGCCCCAGCCCCTTTACTCAGTCTCTGCGTGATTCAATGGGTTAAGACTTTGGTACCGAAAAAAAAAAGCCTTTGCCACAGAAACAACAGCGGGGGCTCGAAACCAGGACTCTGGGAAGCAGCGAGAAAATGACTGGCAAGCCCACTTGAGCACCTGGGAAGACCTGGAACCCACCAGCCCAAGCGCCCGGGCCGCCCTTACGTAACCGGCCGCGCTGCCCTCGAGCGCCGGAAGACCCCGCCCAGCCCTTAAGCCCCGCCCCTACCCAACCGGCCGGTGAGGTGCCGTGCGCAATTCTCCGGAAGCTTCCGCCCCTTTCCCCTTTTATGGGACTACACTTTTTTTTTTTAAACTTGCTGACGCCACCATAGGACTGGCCCTAAAACCACGATATAGAAGCTCCTCTCACAGTCGTACTTCCGCTTCCTTACACTGAGGAATCAGGGCCTCCCCCATTTTTCTCACCCAGGAGGCGGCGGCGGCAGCGGCAGCGGCAGCTTGCGATGTTTGGCCTCAAAAGAAACGCAGTAATTGGACTCAACCTCTACTGTGGGGGGGCCGGGCTAGGGGCCGGCAGCGGTGGGGCCTCCTCTTCGGGAAGGCGGCTTTTGGCTTCGGGGAAGGAGGCCACGGCCCGGCGGGAGGTAGGGGGAGGGGAAGCCGGTGCGGTGATTGGCGGAAGCGCCGGCGCGAGTGCCCCGGCCACTCTTGCGCCGGACGCCCGGAGGGTCGCGCGGCCCTCGCCCATTGGCGCCGAGGGCCCCGACGTCACCGCGACCCCCCCAAGGCTGCTGTTCTTCGAGCCCACCCGCCGCGCGTCGCCGCCTGAAGAGATGGAAGGCCCAGCCGCCGACGCCATCATGTCGCCCGAAGAGGAGCTGGACGGGTACGAGCCGGAACCTCTGCGGAGGCGGCCGGCTGTCCTGCCCTTGCTGGAGTCGGTCGGGGAGGCCAGCAGTGGCCCTTGCAGGGACGGCTCACTGCCCTCGACGCCACCCCCAGCAGAGGAGGAGGAAGACGAGTTGTACCGGCAGTCGCTGGAGATTATCTCTCGGTACCTTCGGGAGCAGGCAACAGGCGCCAAGGACGCGAAACCACTGG